ATATATAATTTTATATAATTATATATAAAACTTTTTTTCCGGATATAATCATAGCAATAACTTCAAGCATAATAACAGATCAAGAGGCTGATCAAGTTAACAAATAATAATAAACAAATCCAAGATTAAATATGTATCATAATCGTTTGTAGCTATTCCATTTTAAAGTAATGGATCTATAAAGCGTTATATTCATTTCTCAATATAATGATAGATCTATATACCTTTCACAGATTCATTACCTGATAAGATTTTTGTCACTCACCGACCGATGTCCCGACCTCTCAGAGCCGTGCAAAGTGCATATTTTACTGCATCTTCACTAACTGGCTAATGGCCTGATCATGGCCGAGGTGACTGCGCGTACCAATAAAAGAAGAAGAAGGAAGACTGACTGATGCGCAGCAGTGGAGTTATCAGCTACGTGGTTACATGATTCTGTAACATACAAGATACAAATTAAAATAGCGTTCAAAATAATCAATAATTAAAAAATTAATTTTTATACACAGTGAATTTTTTAATAGTTTTTCAATTATATATCCATTAAAATTATTATACATTTTCTCGAAATTGTCTTTATAAGAATAAATTTCCATAATGTTTTAAATTAATTCTTTTTTTTAATTATTATTTTTAATCATCGAAATAATGGGAAGAAATGACTAATTTTTTAAAGCAAGTAAGCAATAAGCTTGTTTACCAAAGTTGCTCTATTGCTTTTTCTGAGTCTCTTCCTTCTCCTTCTCCTCCTTCTGCTTCTCAAAATTATCAAGTCTATTTTCATCTCTCTTCTCTTCCCATTATTTGCTTTGTGACAGCACCTATGTTGAAACAAATAGTTGAAACAAATAGTTTGTTAAAATTAAGTGCAGATGCAAATAATTGCACTCTTTTACGCTTATAGTGCTTGTAAATATCATCAATCATTTATCCTTGATTTGATATTTGATAAACAAGGATGAACTACTGCTTACATCATGTGAAGACGGAATGCACTAAATATTATGCGACCATATCACGTTTTGTTGGCGTAGTCGATATTAGATGTGATACATAGTTCATTACAGAAAGATAAGAACGCAGGAAATTTATCATTCGATACTCGCGATACTTTACAAATAAAATTTAGACATTAAAATGTATCTAACAATAAGATGGAAGATTTTTGTACAGTTGACTTTATATGCTTTTTATATGCTATTATGCTATATTGACGCGATATGCTATTCGGTTGCACGAGTATTGTGAAATACATATTCGAATAATCCGCATACTAGTGTCGAAACTATATTATACAATTATTAGATTAAGAGTTAGATATAAAATTAATATAAATTTTATTTACCAATTCAATAAGTTACAACAGCACTCATTTGGAGCCAATCATCTTATATTCACCACATTCTACGAATAAAACATAAATGCAATTAATATGTCGAAGTGATTTCATCTCTCGTATGATCAATTTCACACGTTAAGAGCGACACGACGATGGCAATGCGCGTCCTTCTCTTAGTGAATATTAAATCTATAATTGCGCAAACTTCATTTTAACTTCGCATGCCAAAAACAAACGACGCGAACGACGCGGCGTTGTGACGCCGCACTTCTCACACTTGGCGTCGCGTTCATGAACTTTCCGTATTTCGAGATATTTGATGCTCGAAATGCGAAAGTAACAATCATAAAGGGCAAGCATATATTATAATATACACTATTTTATTATTATTATTATTTCCATATTGTAGATTGATATTCGAAAATTTCATTGTCGATTATTCAAGCGATATATATTTTCGACGAACAAGTTTTACGAAATATGCGTTCGAACGGATTATTAATATGCGAATATTGATTCTAAAGTTACGCAGTAGTTAAATATCACGTATGAAAATATACATTCAAGTTATACATTCACGTATTATATAAATTTTAATTACCATATTTGATTGCGCGTTTTCACTTGTTTGAGAGCTCCGTTCCGCCGTGTCATCCCCTATCCGCTGCATTTCGCGAATGAAAAGTGAATGCGATGAAGAAACGACATCATTTTCCATATGCGGTCAACTTCACGTGTAAAAAGTGACGCGAGACGCGACGACACGACACGACGTCGCGCGTCTTGATTTTCAATCAAATGAATATGCGAGAAATATACTTTCGACCGAATAATTAGTGTGCTAGTACTATAGACTCTGCAATACACGATATTTACACTGTTACGAGAAATAAAGGCAAAGTTAATTATTGATTACCTTAGTAAAGAAATCCAACGATGAATGATCCTTTGCCGTTTCTCGTCGTTTTAGCAGAGATTAAAATAGGGAGAAAAAAATCACAATCGATTTTTGAAGACAGGGTTGCGAACTTTTCCAACGTCATTTTATATTCAGCAGAGATCAGGAAGAAGAAAAATTAATTGATTCGAAGACAGGACTGCGAACTTTTCCAACGTTAAAATGACAAGACCTCGTCCCCTGCTCGAATCGCAAAAGCGTGGAATTGAGAATTACGTGCTATTTATATGAGCCGTCAACCGGCGAACCCCACCACTCGCATGTCAGCCAATGAGTGCGATGCCTCGCTGCGGATGCTTATTGGATCGCGCTAGCTTTCCAATGTGGTATATAAACGCTGCGCGCAAAAAATTTCAGTCTTTTTTGAAATTTAGTACCGTGCGTTTTATGAAAATAGAAAAGTCTGTTACGCATTCGGCAAGCACTTTTAATATGTAGCATGTATTTAGTACATAATTTACGTTATGTATACTGTAGAATTTCAAACATAAAAGAATGTTTTGAATACGAACTAGAAATTATATTCTTTCTAAAAGTTAAAAACCAATTAGAATAAATAAATGAAAGTTGTCGAAAAATTGAAAGAAAAATCGAATTTATAAAATAATAAGCAATTATAAATTGTGAATAATTTAAACACCGCGTAAGTATAGAAATATACTTATTATTTAAAGTTCTATAGTTAAATTTTAAATCAAAATATTAATATAGCAGTACAACTCCACTGAGTTTTATTTTATTGTTAGATATTAAATATATTATGACAATAATCATTACGCTCACTTGTATATGAAATGAAAATAACATTAGGTTTTTTGTATAATATACGCGACATTGAAAAGTGGACTTAATGAAATTATATTGATGGTAACATGAAAAAGGCCGACAAACTCTAGCTCTTAGGTTTCTCTCTGATAACAGCGAGTCAGTGACAAACACTTTTAGCAATCGGTTTTTCGATGGGGCATGACTTTTCGGTGGTGAAGATAATTTGATTGACAGAATTACAGCAAAATTTTAAATTATATACATATAATTCATTGAGTTACGTTTGTGTATTCTAATCGAATGTTTTTTTTTCTACACATGAAATAACAGAAAATGAGTAATTCCAGCCATATGAATAAAATTATACTATATTGATCAGTTATATGTATAATTGTCGATTTAAAAAAAATACATAAGTGAGATAAAATTTTTTATATAATTTTTCAAAATGTTTATGTAAATCTTAGAATTTTTTAATAATTTTATACTTTTAAAAAAAAATTTCTCAGATTTTTTGTACAAAATGCACTTTTTAGAAATACCGAGAAAGTTTTCCTCTTTTTTAGAATTCTTCAAATTCTAAAATTGTAAGACTTCTAAGATCTTTCGTTCTATAATTTTTTTGTATGATAAAATTTTATAAAAATCTAAAAAAGTTCAAACTGTTTTCTCAGAAATTATAAAATACAGAGGTTTAGAAATATTAGAATATTTCAGAATTCATATATATGAAAAATTCTAAGAAATGTAAATTTTATTAATTAGATTTTATTATTGTTATTATAAATATAGATTTTATTATATTCTGGAAAGATATATTTCTGAAGATTCAATTGGTATAAAAATTCTAAGAAAATTTGTCACGAGAGATGATATTAATTAAAAACTAATAATTGATAGCATTAGATAGCTGAGAAACATTACAAAAACTATGATACATATAATAATATTAACATTGTAAATATATAATATTATTTTCTTGATATCTGATAAATGATACATTTTTTTAAATAATTAAAAAAATATATATTGGTAAGAGAGGTAAGACAAATTAAAGTATAAATAATCTGAATCTTGAAAATTCGCAACAAATGAGATATTTCTTAAAAAAATAAATCAGAGCTTGAAATATAAGTCTTATAAACGAGATTATCATCAACAATTTATTACTAACATTTATTAATAACATCGTGTTTGTTACTTTAATGACATTTAACGATGTTAATTAAATAGCAACTATATAAGGAAAATGACATATTTTTAAAATTTATATAGGAGATTTGTCGAAACCGTTTACGTAAAATTGATTGCCCTTCGTTCTGTATAAAGCATCTAAATCCTTGGTGTCAGGGTACATTTTCGTCCTAGACATTGTAATTTTCCATCCACCGTTTTTCGTCCAGTTCTGAAAGAACCATATAATATATATGACATGTCTACTAAGTAATATTACATTTAGTATGTTGAAATATTCTTGTTATAGTTACCATTCTGTTGTATTTCATATAATAATAGATACCATAAAATGCAACGATAGACATCGCCATTTTGCTTATAAAGTGCCGTGTTACGTTCGCCGAAAACTTACCCTGTAAAGAAGCAGAAACTGTTAATCTTTTTGTGTCACTTGCATACATTTTATTTTTATTAACACATTTTAATAACACATTTTAATAGTTTATTTACTTATTATTATTTTTATTGTTAGTTATGTTTATTATATAAATTAAAATTTTTGAAATAGTAACAAAAATCTAAATGGTTTTTTATAAATATTCTAAGTATTTAAAAAACGACTTATGCGAAGTTTCATTGCGATTCATCAATTAGTTATAAAAATTTAGAATAAATATTTTATTTATTTATATACAAGATAACTAATTTTTGTATTAGAATGTAATTTTACATAAATCATCTTGAATACTTAAAATACTTATATCTTAAAAATTGAGATTTTTGTTATTTTATAATACATTTCTATATATTTTTATCAAAGCACAGATAAAAAATATATTAGTTATTAAAATAACTTTTAATCCAAATGATAATTGGATTTGCATTGCTAAAATTTTTATGTTTTATATTTTATTACTTTTTAATGCAATTTAGATTAATCTGTAAATTCTTTTCAAAATTGTTTTAATATTATGAAATATTTTATCTTTAATATGGATGACTATAGATTTGCAGTGTGAATCTGATCGACTTTATTGCCAGTCTACTGATAGCATTTTGCTATCTGGATCATAAATAACTGTTATGTACATTATTGAATGGATAATATTTGTGTAATTAATGTTATTTTGCATTTAACGGATTATCAACTATTTGTTATTACTATAACTGGCGCCAAAATATTCTCGAATTTGTTCATAGGTGTCATGTAAAATCTTCTGATTGGGTTGTACATCGCTTCATAGTAACCCTTGGGATACACTGGCTCCTCAGGCGCGAGTTTCTGAGCATCCAACCATTTTTTCCTCCATGCCCGCTCCTCATCCGTCATTCCCAGCATCCGTTCTCTTTCATGCTCCATACGACGCACTATAGACATAGGTCTATCCCCCATCGTAGCTGAATTGTCTGGGACATCTGGTACTCTAAGAAGTAAATTGTAACAAATTACAATAAATTGCAATAGTTACTTAAAGCTATATTGTTAACTGTAAACATATCAAGAAGTTGTTAAAGAAAATCTAATCATTTCTCTTTTGTTATGCCTTATTTTTATGAGAATTCAGTCACTGACTGAACTTCATGAGAACATTGCTCTCTTGATTTTGCAAAGTAAAAGAATTTATGCAAATAAATGAAATAGAATCCAGTTGCTTTTCAAGATAAATTCTTTTGCGATAGCTGAGAATTTGAAGCTTTAATGTCACAAGTTCCTGTTGCATGAAAATCGATGCATATCAACATTTAAGTTCTTGCTCATTTTTGACTTATCATATAATTTGCACATTGCAGGATACACAGGATTTGATAAATATAATAAAAAAAATATCCTACCGCGACATGATTCTCTTGATGTATGCTCCAAAATTTTCTAAACACCAATTCTCTAAGCCTGTCCAAACTGACAGTGAGGTTAGCTTTAGTTTTGCTTATATGTGTTGTATTACATCACACGTATATATAAGAGGTGGCAAGAAAGTTTCATTTTACGCCATCTAGGATAATGAACTTGGTTTTTTTAAATGGACGAAAAATGTAATGAAACAAATAATACGTAAAAAAATTTAGAGTAGATTTTGATCAAACTTGCAATTAATTTAATCAGTGATTAACTTATTAAGTAATATTTAATGTTATTTCATTAATGAATGGAATTATAATTTTTTATTATTATGTAGAAAGATTAGAGACAATGAATTATATAATAACATTAAAATATTTAATTAAGAATTATATATGTGAAATCGTATATTAAAAAAAAAAGAGAACATCAAGACAATAATCATACAAAAAAATGTGATAATCTCGGGAAAAAAATGTTTCATTATATAAAATCACATATAATTATATAAAAAATTGGCATATTTTATATACAATTATATATAATTGTATATAAAATATATCCATTTATACAACATTTTTTCCTGGAATGTTAGAAGGATTATAATAATAAAAAATAGACTTCATGATTCAGGAAATGTTGATGATATAAATCGATACGTTCAATTATAGGTATATCATTTATTTATTTATTTATTTATTTATTTAATCGACTGTCTCGCAATATTTGTTCATTCATATTTTATCTTTCGAAAATCAATTACAAGTGTCATCATCTATTATCTAGAGGGTATAGATAGGTAAGTTACAGGCGTTTTTCACAGTATTGACTCTATATACTATCCAGATGTGACTAAAATCTGTATCTACAATATATTATCTCGTATCTCGTATGTGTGTACAGGGTGTCTTGCAACCGTACTTTACTTCCTCCTAACGACAATTACGAGCAGCACCATTTCGCGACACCATATTTTAAGTGACTAATTCAAAGTAAATTAAGAGCGCACGCGGTACAATAATACGTCGAGCTCGTACGAAATGACGTACATCAGTTTTTTTATTCGTCGTACGCAAATTAAGTAATATA